GTACTTAAATATTAAAATTATTTATAATTTTAATTTACTCGAGAAATTTTTCATCTGAAAAATTAACTTTTTAGGTTATAAATAATAAAAGTTAATAAGGTTATAGAAAATAATTCTTCCAAACACTCACGAGACATTACAGTGACAGACACGCAGTCTGACACTGCGCCAAGAAAATCAAAAGGTTTTTCTATTCTACCCGGTGGTCGGTAGAGTCCGCCAAAACTGTTAAATTTCCCCCCACACACTACCAGGAATTACTTAAGGTCAGGCATTCATGGTTAATTCTTTGAGGATTAACTTAACGTATATAGCCGCCTTAACGTGTGGATGCATCTTGAGGCCAAAGTTGCAGTGTCATAGCAATGTTTAGCATTTAAGTGAGCAATGTTAGTTAAAAACAGAAATCAGATTCAGAAAGAAATTATATTAAGTTAAACATTTTTAGAAATAATTTTTGATTATGTTAGGAATAATTGTAGTTTATAAGTGATGGACAAAATATATAATAATAGAGCTAGAAGCAAAAAAGTGAAAATATTAAAAAATTATATTTAGCGGATCACATTTATTCACAGCGCTATTGCAATATAAATAATATAAAAAATTGCATTTAAATTTAAAAATATAATAAAGACAAAAAATCAATAAAGTTTATTTTTAAACAAGAAAAACTCAAGTAACATAGTGTAACATAGTAACAAATAGTGATTATCTGCATTCCTTGCAAGGAATGCAGATATTAACTAAATATCAATCATTTATTAACAAAAAGGGTAATTTCCCTGTTACAGGGGGTGGTACATTTGTTAATGAAAGGGCTACAAAAAACTTGAAACAGTTTCCAAATTATTATTAGACTTATACTCTTATTTGACAATTGATTACAGACAATTCTTTACAGAAAATTTCCAAAATGGCAGAAACCGCACTTGAAAAAACAACGGAAATAGGTGCAATATCGCCACGTGGCTGCACTTTAATCACAGAATTGCCAGAAATAATTATTAATACATTTCAATACTTGAAAGATGAAGAATTAGATGCAGGCAGCCAAGTATGTACTCTATGCAGAGATATCATCGTGAACATAATGTATCAGCGAGTAACAATGATCACAAGGGTAATTATTATAACATTATTTTGTTGATTAAATCCTATGATTATATAATTGCTACAAACGCTCAAAATTCCAAAATCGATTAACATAAGTCATTTCTAAGTTATGGAATTCAGTTTACGAAATATTAATTACTGAAACGGCGAATTGTACTTTCTAATTTTGTTAGAGTTTACATGAATTGAGCGTAAAATTTTGAGTTTTCTCTTTCTGATTCTAAACATTTGTAGATTTCTCAGTCATCGATGGATTCAGTGCTGTCTTACCTCGAAGTTCGTTTCTCTCCGTGTGGTGATTTTCCATTTATTTGTCTCTATTAAACTTTAATTTCATCATTTTTTATGTATTTTACGCAAATGGCGTAAAAATAGCCTATAGTTTTTTGGCTGCAATATACTTTTTACGACAGCCTTTGTTATTTAAAGTTGTAACTATGTTTTTGATTTTAAAAATGTTTAATGAAACGTCGATAATCTATTCTTTTCAATTCCGTATACGTATGTTGAAATCTTAATTTTAAATTTGAAAAATGTTATCAATTAAACAGCTTTATTGTATATTTATTTGTAGAAAGTTAGTTCAAACTGTAAAAGGAACTGCAGAGTTTTTTAAACATTAACTTGAATACATTTATACAATACTTTTACAATAATTGAATTGCAGTAAAATAAGTTTTCATTAATTAATTACGTTATGTAAATAAATTTACATTTGCTGTAAATATTTTGATTTATTTAAACAGAAAATTCCTCTTATTGCAATAATCACCGCAATACACGAATCCGAAAATCTACGTCCCTACGTTGGGTTCAAAGATCATTTTCAATACAATTGGTTTGTTTTAGGAGATGAACCTGAACTTACGATTCAGTCTAAATATGGTCTTATTGGATTCAGAGAAAGCAAACTTGCTTCTATTCCAAGTCATAAGTATATGTACTTTACGCATTCATTGAATCGTAAGTAGTTGTACTATATAAGTTTGAAATTATTTATCAATTGTTAATAACAATCACGTTTTTAATTCCAGGAAACTCTGTCACACTCCCTTTCCCGGCACATCATGAGTACTCTTCAACCGAAACAACCGAAATACAAATATTGATGTTTCCAAAAATTCCAGGTTTCAATATTTCTAATTATTCGTTCAGTCTACGCGGAAACGAATCTATCCTTCGTGACAAGTCAGATTTGATAAAGGAAATAAAAAATGTTTGTCACAGAAATAATATACCGGACGAACAAACGAAATGCGTCGTCTTTTACAAAGATATTGCAATATATTCGTTCGAAGACGAAACTGAACATTTGTTAGGTTTTACAGACCACCGTGATGTATACAGGCTCACACTATTTCATGATGAGAAAGTGAATGCTTTTCCTGTTTATATTCATATTTATGCACACCAAGGAACTGGTTATACGACTATCAAAGAGAAATTGGAAAGACTGAAATATTCTGAACTGAAAATGGTACAAAAGAGATGTTTCGCGTATATTTTTCGTTATGCGTGTACAGATTGTATCGATGCGGCAACTCGAGCATTTAGAAAAGTGTTTCCTTTAGTGAAATACGTTACTTATAACTTTTTACCGTCCTATTTATCAATTATCTCAAGCGAAGAAGAGTATTTTCATGTAGTGGACGACGATTCGATTCCCTGCTCTACATTAATGGTTTTCGTCTGGTGGGAATAAATTTATTACATTAAACTGGTTTTGTTAGAATTTCTTTTGTCTTTCATTCAGAGTATTGTTCTACAGCAGACGTTTCAATTCTATCTGCACGTAGGCCACACCGAATGTCTCAGTACTTTTCAATGAGCCGTTATAATTGATTTTTTCTTATTAAAAATGAATAAATAACCACGTATGAGTTTTACTAACACCACAAAATTCTATAAATTGAAGAGTATGAAATCACTTTTCTTTATTGTAGTACCGCTTTTTTAATCACGATTAGTATAATTTAAGTAATTTTAGTTAACGGATGTAAAACATATCAATATCATAGAGTTTTTTGAAATTCACTTTGGATAATTAGGTCAATTAAATGGAGGTGTTAATCAATCTTTCTGTGGTGCCGAAGATCATTTCTTTAATCGAAGACTCCTAATTTTCATTAGAATCAGTGAACGTCACATTCTTCGTCACAAGCTAAACAGCTCATCAAAATGACAGGTGTTTATATATGGATGTTTTGTATAACAAAAAAAAAATCATTGGCTAACTTATTTACAGTGACTCTCAAACATCATAAGCGCTTATCTACTGTAACTTATTAACACTTGTAATTTTCAAATATAATTTAATAATTAGGTTTTTTTTCGTAATGAACTACGTTAATCAGAAAATTAGCAGAACTCATTATATTGACAATGTATAACCGGGCGAGTTGTTTGTTTACACACAGAAATGCTAACTTCTTCCGTGAAGGAATAAACTTACGAGCACAATAACTTTTAATTGTGTAACATTATTAATTCGTAATGAACTACGTTAATCATAAAATTAGCAGAACTCATTATATTGACAATGTATAACCGGGCGAGTTGTTTTTTTACACATACAAATGCTAACTTCTTCCGTGAAGAAATAGACTTACGAGCACAATAACTTTTGATTGTGTAATATTAATTTTAAATAAAAAACTAATTGCTTACTTATTAAGAAACCATTTCAGATATGATATAAACACGTGGTTTTGAAGTAATATAAAATACTTCAAGTTCAAATCTTTTTTATAAAAAAGATTTAAAATTATTTCATAATGCTCATGTAACAAGTTTAATAAATTATCGAAGCATTAACTTCGTTAAAAAGAGTGTAAAATTTACAGTAATAAAATACACTGAGATCAAAAGGATGTTCAGATATAAAGTATAATACAAATCAGATTAACATTATTTGATAAACTCCTTTACATAAAAAGTACTCCTTATGTAAAAACGTAGGAATGACTCGAGAAACAACATTAATTACAATTCACTATTTCGTTCTTCGAGACACTATTATGTATGGCTTAGAATTATAAAATTAATTCTAACATATTTAATGAATGACAGGTGAACATAGAATTATCATGAAATCTATTCTTGTTATTAATGACTGAAAAATCCCATAAAAACTAGAGAAAACAGATTGAAAAGTAAAGCTCAGCGAAAATATCTAAATAAAATAAACTTTTTAAGTTGTGGTGTAATAATACTGCAACCAGATCTGAAAGTAAGATTACATGTGAATAAAGTGCACATTACACAGATTACAAATACAGAAAAATTTGGATGAAGGAATGCCATAACAATAATGAATCGAGAAAACAAGCATCGTTAAAGAAAAAGGCTTCCAGCCGTACAGTACTTTGTACCTTAACGTTCTTTCGTTCATACTGCTAGAACATGCTCTAACTTTCAGCCAAATTGTTGTGGATGCACCGATTTTAAAACCGTTGAATGTAAGGAGTGCTGTATTGATTTTCAAACTTACTTGTAAATATTATAGCGGAATTATTTCCTCTGTATAGAATTATGGCTTCACTTATCCACATAACAGTTTATTTATTTCATTGAATAAATTTTTCAGACTTTCTTTGGTGTTATGCAATAAAACTATATCATCAACATATCTGGTGTTATTAATAAGACTCTCATTAATATCACTCCATCTTCTACCTTCTCAAATGCCTCTCTCATCATCCAGTCGTTGTAAAAGTTAAAGACCACATCCTTTAAGTCTTAAAGAATCTTGAAGTAAACTATCCTTTCACTATTATATTTTATCAATTCTTTCACCGCATTAATTTCTTTACTCCAATAAAATAATTAAAATCTTTTAAATTTAGGGATTTCTCTTCCTTTACCTGATCATTACTCAGGGTAGTTCATATATTTACTCAAAAATGTTCACTAACTTTATTCTTATGTTGCTTATTAAATACCTTGTTGTTAACAATATCGAATGCCTTTTCGTAGTCGACAAATTATAGACATAGGCGTAAGATTTTATCGTTTGCAATCATTTCTTTACCTATTAGTGTTAATAGTGTTATTGCTTCTCTGGTTTAGCTATTCCTTTTTAATCCAAATTGCGTGTTGCATATCTCTACGTTTATAATATATTTTATTCTTATATGTATGATATTTATCAGAGCTTTGGAGACATGACTTACTAACCTTATATTTCTGTCTTTATCACATTCCATTGACTTTGGTTTGAAAATAAACTAGACCAGTCAACAGGGATATTGATTACTCTTAGAATTTGTTGTAGAGCAGTGTTTTTCAACCTTCTTGAATACGCGACCCTTTACAAGTTAAAAAAATTCTGGCGACCCCCAAGAGCCATATTAAAACTATATCAGTGATTTTAAAAACAACGTATTTAATTTTCTTTCTGTTGAGACCTAAATATCGATCGAAAAACCAATTGTACTTTAAAATAAAAACGCAAAGCCTTCTCACTGAGATTGTATTTTTATTTATTGTAGTGTAGGACCTACAAACACTTGTCTTTTTCTTTAACCCGCGACCCCCGTATAAGGCTTTGCGACCCTCTGAGGGTCGCGACCCACAAGTTGAAAAACACTGTTGTAGAGAGTCTTAAGACGCTTTCGCCTCATTTAATTAAGCAGTTCTCCCTGTATTTCATGAATTCTCTTTAGTGACTCTTCGATATATGCCTTAGAAATTCCGAAACTTCCATGTAGTCATGTTACTACATAGTTTTTTCACCTTGATTCTTTTCTTCCAAATACAATACAGTTGACCCCCTATAACGCGGATTCATATAATGCGGATTCGTATATTGCGGCGAAAAAATTGCGACCGTATTCGTATAAAGACGCTAAAAGAGACTCGTAAAATGCGGTAAAACGTCATCGCCGACTCGTGTCGCGACAGGATTGGTCGAATCTGGACCAATAGTGGACGAGCAGCCGAACTACTTACATGCTACGAAGAGTTTAGGCGGGTAAGTTGAGTTTACTATCATCTGTACAGTATATAGGTCTAAATTAAGTACTGTAAGTCTAATACAGTACTGTAATTTTATGCATTTCTTGTGAAAAAAAAAACATTTCTTATTCAACGGCCATAAAAATTATTTATATTAATGATGTCTCCAAAGTTCAACGAATTTTTCGCAGAAAAATAACTTATCAGAAAACGCGGCCGCCGTTTGTGCGCTGCTCCGCGACGAAAACAAGCTTAAGCAATGGCGTGGTCAAACGGTGCACACTCGGTAAGCAATCCTACAATTTTTTGTTTATAGCATAGTTTATACAGATTATTCCCAAAAAATTATACGTGTTTTGGAAATGTTAAGTGAAATTAGTCTAGAATCGATTAATTTTATGGAAAAAAACCTTTCAAACAGCCGTAGTCCGTAAACTGCACACGTGCCGGGCTGTGATTGGCTCATGTATTTAAGGATTCCTACAACGCAAAATTCTTATAAAGCGGAACGTATCTACCGCGTTATAGGGAGGTCGACTGTATTTTTCTTTTCATCTTTTATACAGTTAATTTTTGTCTGCCTTCTCTTACCAAAAATTACATCGATAGTTTCGTATTTTTTCCATAAATATTTAGATATGTTTCGTCTTTTCATTTTCATTCAAAGTTGATTTAGCCAATCCTCTTTGGCTTTTCTGGCCAATGTATTTACCTGTGTATCCGCTGTCTTGTAATTTTTTTAGCGAATGTTTTGTTTATGTTTTTATATTTTCCTCTATCGATCATCTTTTGTAACAATTCCTCTGTGACCCAACTTTTTTTTCTTTTCTTTTTCATCCAAAACATTTGTAGAACTTTTTTTAACTTTAATTTTCATGTCTTCAAAATTACTTCTAGTCAATTTTTGTGTAAAAGTTTTGAAATCTATTGCTCAACTCTATTTCTAGTGGCATGTACAGTATTTTTCGCGCATACATACGCCGATGCGGATAGTTATTCCCTTCTAAAAGTAATTAAAAAGAATAACTATCAGAAAAGACTAAACATATATTATTCTATAATACATTATATTAATGGTAACATTTTAATATTATTCTAGCTTGTTACATCCGGCGTTGTTCAGGTTTATAAGAGACAAATTAATAATAAGGAAAAAAATGTCATCCGAAATACATTAATATTCGAAAAGCGATCCGGTGTTGAATAGGTTGTGATAGGCCCTCATGTGATCGAAAGTGCTAATTTTAATATCAGATACATGTCATATAAGACTTGTTTAAATTTAAAAATTTTTGTAAAAATGCGAGAATAAATTACTTTTGAGTGATAATAAAGTGTTAAAGCTACTTTTAAGTGTTTTGAAAGATCATAAATTTCAAAAATGCATGTGGTAACCCCCATTTTAAGAGCATAATCAATATGTCTATAAACTACGTGAATAGTATTTAAATAGCGATTTTCATGAAATAAAAAATTATTAGAATTAAGAAAGTACTATTCAGCAATGAAAATGCCCCTAATTGTTAAATGTAGAGTACCAAATTGCCTACTTAGAAAGTTTTTACAGTGTAACACTGCAATCGACCCACGCGAGTGCTATTCGTTGCAGTAATGATGTAGCTCGTCTACTTCCCTCTAATTAACTGTCGTAGTAATTAAGTGAATATAGTATATATAAATTTCTTTAAACTATAGATAGATTATTCTTTTTTAATTTTTTGTCAAAAGATAACGCTAAATGTAAATAAGAACATTTTCAAATTATTGGAATGAGTTTGGTTTATT